CCCTGCCTTTCCTCTTCCCAGAATTCTCCTAGTCTGGTAGCCCCACCTACATTTCCTGCCTGGCTACTGGTCAATCAGCATTTATTCATCAACCAATAAGAGAAACATATATTCATAGAATACAGAAGGGCCTCCCCCATCAGTTGTCCCAGAAAGAAGTTGTAATGTTGCAGCTGTACACTTCTGGGTGGTGCCTACATAAAACGAAGAACCACCAGTAAACCAGGCCCTAGTCTTCTCTTCCTCAGTCAACCAATCACAGCACACACTCCATGAGGCTATAGGGGCATTTTTGGGCATAGACAACATTATAAGGGGAGTAGAAACCATTGCCATTTAGGCAACTTCTTTGTGTAACTTGCTTGTGCCCTCAGGACCTGCTTGGGCCAGACCACATATATATCACTTCTATTTGATAATAGATTACATTGCATGTTCTACTTGATGGCTTGGTGACTGAGATAATACCCAGTGCATGATAGGTAACTTAGGTTGCATGCTAATTTGGTGGCCCATTGTCAAATGTTTCCACTAAGGCCCAACAGCAGGCCAAGAGCTATCTCTCAAATGAAGAATACTTGTCTGCAGATGATGGTAGAGCCTTGTTCCAAAACCCAAAGGTCTGTTCTGTGATCCATCTATAGGGGCCTGCCAAAGGCTCCAAACAGCATCCCTACCTGCCACTGACCATCAAGTCTGTTGGATCATATGGTCCAAATGGTAGAGCAGTCTGCATAGCACCTGTTGAACAGCCTTCTCCTGTTCTGGGCCCCACACAAAGATAGCAGTTTTCCAAGTCACTTGGTATATGGGCTGGAGTAACAAACCCAAGTGAGGAATGTGCTGTCTCCAGAATCCAGACAGGCCCACTAAATACTGTGCTTCTTTCTTGGTTTTGGGAGGGGTCAGGTGCAATACCTTATCCTTCACCTTAGATGGAATTTCTCTGCGTGCCCCACACCACTGGACTCCTAAGGATTTCACTGACATAGAGGCCCTTGAATTTTTCTTGGATTCATTCTCTATCCTCTGGTGCATATATGTGTCAACAATGAGTTCAAAGTGATTGCTACCTCGTACACTAATGCGATATTTCGTGGAAGAGACAGATGACCAAGATTCCTCTAAGTTATGACACAAGGCTTGAGAGTTTATATATCCTTGAGGTAAAACTGTGAAGGATATTGTTGGCCTTGCAAGTTGCTTCTGGTGGTCCTTATGGGCAGGTCCTGAGAAAAAGGCATTTGCAGTATCAATAGCTGTATACCATGTACCAGGAGATGAGCTAATCTGCTCAAGGAAGGACACCACATCTGGTTCAGCAGCTGTAATTGGAGTTGCTAATTGATGGGGTTTTCAATAGTCAATGGTCATTCTCTACCTTCCATCTGTCTTCTGCACTGGCCAGATATGAGCATTAAAGGGAGATAGGGTGGGAATCACCACCCCTGCTTCTTTTAAGTCTTTGATGGTGGCACTGATTTCTGCAATTCCTCCAGTGGTGTTCACTCGTTTCTTCACTCCATAGGTCAATTCTGCCATAGGTGAGAATTCTGCCAA